GTCTGATGTTTTCAGCCTGGGTGTGCTTATGTTAGAGATAGTAAGTGGACAAAGGAACAGAGGTTTTCATCATCCGGATCACCACCACAACCTTCTGGGGCATGTAAGTACTACAAAGGATGCTTCTTTTCTCTTTCTCTCTCTTCGCCCGTTCTCTCTGAGTTTGCATTTTACTCCTCATGGATTTTCCATGTGTAAGCTCACTTGCTGAGCCAACGAAAGAAAAAAAAACACAGTCACTTCATTCTTGCAATTGTTTTAGGCTTGGTTGCTATGGAATCAAGACAGGGCTTTGGAGCTAATGGATGCTTGCCTGAGGAACTCATGTTTGGAGTCTCAAGTGCAGAGGTGTATCCAAGTGGGACTATTGTGTGTTCAACAGCATCCACAAGACAGGCCAACAATGTCATCCATAGTTTTTATGATGGGTAGCGAGGGATCAATGTTGCCTAAACCTAAACAGCCTGGTTTTTTCTCAGGAAGGAGTTCCATTGACACTGATGCAGCAGAAAAAAGTGAAGAACTTCATACAAAAGAACCAGAAACTATAACAATACTACAAGCTCGATAGAGGATTCATAAGGGGACTGAATATTAGCGATGTGAGTCCATCTTTAGAATCTTTCTGGTTGTTCTTTTATTATTTGGATTCACCTGGCTAATTTTTTTTTTGTATAATTTGATTGTTGACACTGATTAAGTATAATTTACTGGATAACTTTGTTCACATGCTTAATTGGACAGCATGAAACTACCGTCACTGGCGTCGTAGTTGTTGTGATGGTGGTTGCGTAGAAGAAGAAGAAGAAAGGCCCGACAACATTGACCACAGTTAGAATATGAAGTATCTCGATATTTTAGCCTTGTTTGGTAGAAGGGAAAAACAGGTGGATGGAAAATGGAAGAGAAGGAAGTATTTTTCATTGTTTTGTGAAAAGGGCAATGCTATATGGACTTAAAAGATAGATTTAAAAATTAGACTTGATAATCTCAATCATTGATTTAAATGTGGGTTCCAGTATTTATTAGGACCCACTACCTATTCAATGGTTGAGATTATCAAGTCTAATTTTTAAGTCTATCTAGCATTACTCTTTGTGAGAAAGGAAAAGTGGATGGAAAGAGTAATGTTATATAGACTTAAAAATTAGACTTAATAATTATAACTATTGAATAAGTAGTGAGTCCCAATAAATATTGAGACCCACAATGAAATTAATAGTTAAAATTATTAAGTCTTTTTTTTAATTTAATTTTTAAGTTCATGTAACATTACTCGGATGGAAAAGAAAAAGGAAAGGCAAGAGTCTCCTTTGAGCCTACCACTTTTGATCCGCAACAAATATGGGCTGAAAATGAGGGAGAATTGTTGGTTGCAAAAGGTAATTGAGTTAATGTATATTTATACCCTTATTAATTGCATATTCTCTATAACTGTAATGTTAAATACCATTTGTATAAGGAGTACAATTTTAAAAATGTTGCTATATAACTTATAGTTAATGCTACATTGATCAAATTTTATGATTAAATTTAGAGTTCAAATGACATGACAGTTGATTATTTGAAATTTTTATTGGGACCCAAATAACATGACACCAATCAAAGAAGTTCAAGTCAACTGTCATATCATTTGGATTCTAAATTTGGTTAGTGTAACATTATTCATAACTTTTACATGGTAAGATACCTGATGACATTATTTAATAATTTTTTGTTATAATAAAATTCTAAATCACACATGTAATTTTTTTTCCATATCAAACAATAAAGAAAAATCCTATTGTTAGAACTTAGAAGTAAAGGCCAAATAGTTTTTTTTCCATTTCTGTTATAAATGGAACATGTATTATTAAATCAAGTAGGGTCTATCATATAAAAGTGACTCAAATACTTATTAACAATAAATTTACAATTTATACTTAAAAAGACGTTATAGATTTATAATTTTGTCTATTTATAGAGTAGCTTGGGTTGTTGGCTATTATTTTTTGTATACATATTTATATTTATTTATTTTTATAACTAATTAGAGCGACATTGAATTCATTAAATTTATTTATAATAAAAATTATTTATTTATATAAGTGTTTAATGATAAATTAAGTACATTTATCTTTTCTTTCCTTTCACTTTTCCTCTAATACTAAATAATAAAAAATTAATTTTTTCAATTTTTCATTCATCATACCAAACACAAAAAAGGGAAAGTGTTTCTCTTTCTTTCAAGGATAGAAAATATATACTTCACACTTTTTCATTCTTCTAATTTTTCATTTCAAGTACCAAACAGAACATAAGTTAAGGATCGAATTGAGCACAGTATGTCAACTCCTATTTTCGTAGACTGTTCATCTGTGGACCAAAGCTGAAGTTGGCTAAAAAAGAAAACTACAGGAGAGACGTGGAAGAAGCTAGCTAGTAAATTGGCTGAGACAAATGGTGATTATATAACCAATGGATTGAACACACACTAGTATTGGAATAGTGATGGTCACCAAGGCTACCAAGGAAGCTGACAGATTAAGCAAGTTATTGGAGCACTGTATTATAGTGCCAAAATAGAAAACAGTGTCCTCTCTTTACGTACTAAGGTAAAATTATTTGACTTTTTTAAATTTCAAAATAACGAGAATCTCGGACATTATATATATAGATAGTTTTGGCAAGAAAGACTTCCATTTCTTGGAGGAGCTCGCTAATTTATCGAAATGTCACTTTGTACAATAGGATTTAGAATTTGATGTTTACCCAAATGTAAAATATGCTCATGTATATCTTAACAAACAAAAACTCTTAACATAATAGTTTCGAAAAGGGTGTTAAAATATGATCCGCCTTATTAACACAATATGAATATGATATAAAATTAGAAGGTTTGAGTCTTCTTTAAATCACTTATTTTGTAAAAGAGTCGATCTGACACGACACGATTAATAAACGAATTGGATATGAGTGAAGTCAATCTAAATAAATACATGATACGACACGTTTATTTACTGGTTGTACATAATTTGTAGACAATTTGAACCTGATATAACACAATTTGTTAAACATGAATTAATAAATAAATTAAATATAGGTGATCTGATTTTTTACACAAACTCACTAAGACCTAATACAAATCTGAATAGGATGAGATAATAAAAATGTCAAGTTAGTGTCAAGACATCTAAATAACTAATTAAATACGTTACACTAAATATATAAACCTAACACGGCGCAACCTAACCAAGACTTTACATGGCTCAATAGTCAAAGTTACCCACAACTGCCTGGATTGAAAATCTCCATTCCCACAATCCAGTTGTGCATTCCAAACACACCCATTCGACCAATCTGCCGCGTCCAGTTGCAACGTAGCTTGCAATTCCAGTATCTACAATTTTTCAATTAAGAACGCTATTGGAATGTAATTTGAAAACATAATAATCGTAACCATCGAATTATTAATGGGTTCCAGCTGAAACCCAATAATCAAAAAACGTCAATAGCAAAAAAAAAAAAAAAAACAATAATCACAAAACGTTAAGTTCTTAAATTATGTCTTAGTAATATTAGTATTTTTCGGAGGTGCATTCTGCCATTCTAGTGGACGCCCGGTCTAATAAAACTTCCAGTTTCTTTATTGACAGAAAGCAATCTTTGTTGGATCTTTTCACCTTTTTCTTCTCTTTAATACTAGAAATTTCAATGGGTGGGCCTAAGTCTCTGGAAATCTATGACTAGGATCAACAATAATCAATTATTTACTCTTGAATAGTCTTTTTTTTTTCTTTCGAATAATCATTGTCCAGCGAATGCTTAATACCCCTGTCAACAAACATAAGTATGCCCGATAATAATATTGAAGCATCTGAAAGCAATGATCATCCATATTCGATTTCGAATTTCATAACTACGGCAGCTCTGTTTATTTGCACCAACCCTTTACTTAGTCGTCAACATCAATTCATAATCTGCCAGTTTTGGCCTGATTTTTTGTTGCTTGTCTTCTGACCTTATGCTGCCAATTGAAAATACGACCGCGAGACGAGAATCTGTAAATGGAGTGAATACAGAAACAGGGGTTGCATTCATAGAGAACCAAGTGTTTGGGACCTCGTCTTGGGTGTATGTGTCTGCACAAATTTCCGATGATCAGGACATAAATTTTAGGTCCACTTGAAAGTTCTTAGTCATTTTGCCATCAGCTTCAATAAGAGATGTTTCCATTTCTCCACCTTGACTTCTACTAGCACTCTTCTTGGCTCTATTTGGAACCAAAGAATTTGATGTTGGTTTACTTTTTGGAACCAGAATTTGATAAATTGGCTGAATTTGAGTTCACCTAACATTTGTAAATGAGTTCACCTAGTTTCCTCAATACTTTCTGATTCAACAGTTGCATAATGAGGCCACTCTTCACCTTCACCTTCCTTTATGCTTTGATCTGTTCTTCAACCTTGTTGGAACTTTCAGTTGCAGCAGATACAATTATTCCAGGCCAAGTCCTTACTGATGGCGAGACTATAGTTTCATCCAACCAAAGATTCGAGCTTGGCTTCTTCTCTCCTGGCAGGTCCAAAAACCGGTACCTAGGAATATGGTACAAAACAACTCCGGATATTGTTGTGTGGATTGCAAATAGAAACAACCCGATTACAGATTCACAGGGAATCTTAACAATCAGCAGCGATGGAACGCTTGCTCTTCTCAATGGAACCCAAAGCACTGTCTGGTTTGCAAAGTTGTCGAAAACAGCAGCAAGTCCAGTTGCACAGCTCTTGGGTACTGGAAACTTAGTTCTTACAGGCAAGGCAAGCGCGAGTTCTGAAAGCTATATGTGGCAGAGTTTTGATTTCCCAACTGACACTCGGTTGCCAGGAATGAAGATGGGGGAGAATTTTGATACTGGTCTAGTCCAATATTTGACATCATGGAAAAGTGCCGAGGATCCATCCCTTGGAGACTTCACCTACAAAATTGATAACCATGGATTGCCTCAAATAGTTCTTAGAATGGGATCACTGAAACAGTACCGTAGTGGGCCGTGGAATGGAGTTCGGTTCAGTGGTCACCCCCTGCCCATGTATCCAGGTTTTAACCCGATATTCGACTTTAATGGAAATAGTTTGAATTCTATCTCTGACAGTTACAACATCCCAGTTATTACAAGAGTAACTCTGGTTCAATCAGGCTCTCTCCATCGCTATGTAATGGATGAAACGGGCACTAAATGGACTCTAGTTTTCACAACACCAGGTGATCCATGTGACAGTTATGGGAAATGCGGTCCCAATGGTATTTGCAGAATTAACAAAACTCCAAACTGCGATTGTTTGAAGGGATTCACTCCAAAATCTCAACAAGATTGGGAAATGCTTGTATGGTCCAGTGGATGCGTAAGAAAGATAGCATTAGATTGCCAGAGTGGAGAAGGATTTCAAAAGGTTGCGGCAGTAAAGCTGCCTGACTTGTTGGAGTTCCAGCTTAACACTAGTATGAGCCTCGTTGAGTGCAGCGCAGAGTGCTTAAAAAACTGTTCTTGCACTGCTTATGCTAATGCATTCGTTACTGGAGGTGGCAGTGGCTGTTTGATGTGGTTCGGTAATCTGATGGACATAAGGGAGTTAGTTGTAGAAGGTAGTGAGCAAGATATCTATTTGCGCTTGGCAGCTTCAGAAATAGGTATGTGCCTTCCCTTGGTATGCGTCATAGCTTTAGTTTAGACTCTCAAATCTTTAGTTGTTTAGCCAGACCACCCAAGGGATTACCGAGTGAACAAAGATAGAGGGTAGCGTACCTCGTCAAGCAGAGACAGGAAGTTCAATTTGCCACTAGATCTGTAAATCAACTTACGATCAGCGTTGCATGTTAATTTTCATGAGGTTCAAACAAAACAGCTGGAATTTCTAATGACAAATAAACTTGTCAATAATTCAGACATGCAGGAAACATTGTAGCACAGTTCTTAGAGAAACAGGCAATTTGAAGCAAATATTAATATTTTTCAACATGCACTATTTGTAGAGTACCTCGGTCATTCCAAGGAGAAGAAGAAAAGACTTACAAAGATCCTAGTGGTATTGGCCATTTCAGGGCTACTTCTCTTGTCTGTGGTGTGCGTGTTCATATTCATGAAATTAATAGCAAAGAGAAGAGGTAAGAATGCTGATTTGTTTACAATCTTTGAATGGAAGTCATATTATCAAGCTCAAGTGTTAAAATGGTAAATTATGTCTGGAAGACTTGTTTAAAATCTTAGTCAATCAAATTCTCAGCTCAGAAAAGGAAGAACAAAGACATAGAATTGCCTTTGTTTGGTTTGGCAACAATTTCCACTGCAACAAATAACTTTTCTCATGCAAACCTGATCGGAAAAGGTGGCTTTGGTCCAGTTTATAAGGTAACATTGGATATATTCAGTTCTTTTTTTCTTTTAATCTGGATGTAAGCAAAATATTTTTTTGTATAATTGAACATCTTATATATGAGACCCACAGGGCCAGTTATCAACCGAACAAGAGATAGCAGTGAAAAGACTGTCTAAGGATTCAGGACAAGGTCTCGAAGAGTTTAAAAATGAAGTTGTTTTGTTTGCCAAACTCCAACATAGAAATCTTGTCAGGCTTTTGGGATGCTGCATTCATGGAGAAGAGAGGATGTTAATCTATGAGTACATGCACAACAAAAGCTTGGATTATTTTATTTTTGGTTTGAGCCTTGAAATCCTCTATCTCTTGATTTAGTTCCTTGGTTACATGCTTGTCGATTTAGCATCTGAACAGAGTCATCCACTTGGTTTTAATTTGGAATCTTCTGATCCTTGTAATTACAAATGGCGGACATTGTGCAGATAAGAGTAGAAGTGCGTTGTTGGCTTGGCCAAAGCGTTTTGACATAGTTATGGGGATTGCACGAGGGCTTCTCTATCTCCATCAAGATTCTAGATTGAGAATTATTCACAGGGATCTCAAAGTAAGCAATATTTTACTCGACAGGGATCTCATTCCCAAAATTTCAGACTTTGGCTTAGCAAGGATTTTCGGAGGTGATCAAATTTTTGCAAAAACGAAAAGAGTTATTGGTACATAGTAAGTTCTACTCACTTAAACTCAATTATTGTGTTCATAATTTAGAGGAGCTTATAATTGATAAGTTCATGCAGTGGCTATATGTCTCCAGAGTACGCAATTGATGGGAAATTCTCTGTGAAGTCCGATGTTTTCAGCCTGGGTGTGCTTATGTTAGAGATAGTAAGTGGACAAAGGAACAGAGGTTTTCATCATCCGGATCACCACCACAACCTTCTGGGGCATGTAAGTACTACAAAGGATGCTTCTTTTCTCTCTCTCTCTTCGCCCGTTCTCTCTGAGTTTGCATTTTACTCCTCATGGATTTTCCATGTGTAAGCTCACTTGCTGAGCCAATGAAAGAAAAAAAAACACAGTCACTTCATTCTTGCAATTGTTTTAGGCTTGGTTGCTATGGAATCAAGACAGGGCTTTGGAGCTAATGGATGCTTGCCTGAGGAACTCATGTGTGGAGTCTCAAGTGCAGAGGTGTATCCAAGTGGGACTATTGTGTGTTCAACAGCATCCACAAGACAGGCCAACAATGTCATCCATAGTTTTTATGATGGGTAGCGAGGGATCAATGTTGCCTAAACCTAAACAGCCTGGTTTTTTCTCAGGAAGGAGTTCCATTGACACTGATGCAGCAGCAAAAAGTGAAGAACTTCAAACAAAAGTGCCAGAAACTATAACAATACTACAAGCTCGGTAGAGGATTCATAATGGAACTGAATGTTAGCAATTTAGACCTAGTTGTTGTGTTTATAGGTGATGTGAGTCCATCTTTAGAATCTTTCTGGATGTTCTTTTATTATTTGGATTCACCTGGCTAAAGGTTTACTTGTGTAATTTGTTTCTTGGTGAAAATTAAAGGGAAAAGAGGAGCAGGGGCCAGAGCCAAGGTGCAAGAGTATTTCTGAATAGACTGCTGTTGTGTGTTTGAGAGCACTTGGAATTCTACCACTGGCAGCTTTCAGAAGCTCAACGATTAGGGTGAATCCCAGCATTAATACAAACTGGCCAATTTCTTGATCTTAGGGAAGGCCAAAACTTTTTAATAAAGCCCTTTCTCCAAAGATAAGAAAACAACAAACCCTCTAGATATTCTAAAATTAAAGTCAGCCCAACACCATAAGCTCTTATAAATGACTAACATAATGCTTTATTTGAAACGTCATCACCTTCCTCTGGCTTATCACAGGCAGTCTGTTCAAGGATTCAAACTCAACGATAGCAACTAAACACAAGGGTTGTGCTCGTTGCGGGACTTAACCCAACACCTTACGTCACAAACTGACAACAGCCATGCACCATTTTCTTTCTCCCCATGGAAGATGAAACTGTCTGGGAGTCCGACGTTCCCCCAATATCAAGAAAGAGTTTTTGGGCTTTTTATGTGTAGTTTTGGCAAGAAAGAGTTCCATAGCTTGGATGAACTCTGGAATTGATTGACATGTCACTTTGTACAATCGGGTTTATAATTTGTTGCCTACCCAAAGAGTAAAAAGCAAAATTGGGTAATGCTCATAGCATAATATAGTTACGCCACTGCCAAGCATTGATCATAGATAGTTGGGTTCAGATTTCTCAACCATGGCAGCTTTGTTTCTGGGACACCAATCAACTTACTTTGCCCTCACCATCAAATCATTATCCGTTAATTTTTCACCAATTCAGATTGATTATTCCATACATTTCAATTCATTGCCTAAAAACTAGGATTAACTATGGCCGATGTGACAACCATCAATGGAGTTACCGACGATCCTAAAGGTTGATTTCAAACACAGAGGCCACACCGATTCGAAGAACTCTTCCATTATGAGATGAATTGGTTATTGCAATTGAGGGAAGTGCCCAAGGGGGAGGAATATTGGGGATTTTGAGAGGAGAATTGGGAGAGAGAAAGGAAATAAGGGTATTGAAAGGACTCTCTATTATTTTTTCATACAATTTCACTTAATGGTAGATCATATACCGTATATTCATGTGCGATCTATTATTTCTATGTGATTCCTCATATATAAACGGTGAATGATCTACTATTAAGTAAAATTATGTAGAAAAATAATGGAGAGGATCTAGAAGGGGACAAACTGTTGCTATATTTGGGGTTGTGTTCTACTTTTGGGGCATGTTTGGTCTATGGGTTTAGGTGGGTTTCATAGGGTGAATTTATCAAAATAGTTCAATGTATCACTTTATTCCTTGTTTGGTTGCAAATTTCAGGCTCGGGATTTGAATCTTGACCTATAACAAGCCCGCAAATAAAACTCATGTATAAGAGTTTCAACAATCCGGCCATAGAGTGGGTGGGTTTAAGCAATTTCATAGCAAATAACTTGATTAGTCCGTAAGTCTCATGTGTATTTGTGTTATTTATCAAATATGAGATTGAAAATAATACATAAATCTAATACGATCCCTATCTTAAAAATCATCAAAATAGCTCTTGAATGCGCTAGAAACAAGTGGTTGATCCGGTGGGAAAAAGTGGTTGAAAAGTGGGAAAGGAAGCTAAAATGCAGAAAATTCACAGGTTAGAATTGTTTTTCCTATGTTTAACCTTTTATAGGTGGTATGTTTTTTTTAAAACATCTCTAACTTTGACTTAAATTTAAATTTGAGTAAAAAAACTCAAAAAAATTTATTCTAACCTTTGTCTCAAACTTATACAAAATCAAGAGAGACTCATTTTTTAATTCAAATTAAAGGAGACTCATTTTTTTATTCAAGTCAAAATAGACTCAAATTCTTACCTAAATCTTTAATAGTGATTTCTCATCATCTTTTAAATATCCAATGGTTATTTTTACTTTCTTTTAAATTTGAATTTATCCTCATTTAAATTTAAATTTCTCGTTCTTTAAATTTAAGTTTGTCTATTGAAACTTTTTGTATCGAATCAAGTTTTTTACTTAAATGTTAATTTAAATTTAAATAAAAAAATTGACTCATAGTTGGAGATAGCCTTAGAGTTTGTTCTTTAGCCATTAATCTTTTTTTTTTGGGTAAATTATATCCACACCTCCTGAACTTTGTCACTAAAACACAGATTCTCTCAGGTATTATATATTACACTGATACCCCTGTTAGTCATTGCTAACTAACACAGCTAACAAAAATTTTAAAAGGACTATTTTGCCCTTATAGAAAATAAAAAAAAACCTAAGTCAAACCCACATACCAGACCATAGTCATACCGACCCGAATACTTCTCCCTTGCTTCCACTGATGCCTTCAATGCACATAACCTCTTTTCTCTCTTTCTCCATTACTCACCACCAACCCTTGCCACTCATTCTCATTTCGGTCACCATTCTCCTCTATACCTAAGCTTATAACTCACCCACACCTATATCTTTTCCTACTGTACTCCTCATTGTTCTCTGTATCTCTCTCTCTGTCTATGTGCGCTCTATCGCTAATCGTTGCTGCACCACCATGGTCACCATCAAACCCACCACTACACTATAAAATCCATATCACCAAGGTATCAATTTTGCCACTCCTGTCCTTGTCAAATCTCTCAAATATAGCCATCAAATTCTGTGAACTGTAAAAAACTACAGTGGATTCCTTTGGCCCGATCTTTCTAGTGTTGGTATTGGTGAAGAGATACATGGGAAGATGAATAGTCCTAAGGTTAAAACTTTGATTATAAGATGACAAAGCCCCTTGTAACTCCTTATCATCTCTAAACATATTTCCATCTTGATCGGCGATCTGAAAATAGGTAATTACATTGGAATCAATGTTGGAAGGAAAAGTCGACAGAACAAGAGAAACGAAGGGTTGTCGTATGGCACCACAGAGGAGGATACCCAAAAGCCGAGGACAGTGGTGGTGAAGCACTACATCCAGTGAAGGGTTTGTTTTCCTTTGGGTGTT